AGGGAGCGCTTGTTGTCCCCTGTCCTATGCGTCAGGACTCGGCAGGGGGTTCCTGCGGCTGATGGCCAGGGCGAGGGTGTCCCCGTGTCCCTATGCTGACTTGTGGCCTCCCTGTGCTCCTGACAGCCAGGCCAGGGGTGTCCCCTATGTCCCACTGTCTCACCCCAGGCTTGGCAGGGGCAGCCAGCACGAGGGTGTCCATCCTGTCACCCATGTGCCCGTGCTGAGGAGGCTTGGGGCCTCCCTGCACTTCAAGAATCCGGGCCAAAGGAGCCCCCATTCCCCTGTGCCGCATGTTCCCAGTGTCCCCATGTGTCAGGGCTCGGGGGATCCCTGGGGACTGGTGACCAGGAGAAGAGAATCCTAGGAGCCGATGGCCTGCAGAGGGGTGTCCCCAGTGTTCCCGCGTCCCCGGGCAGGTGTGGCTCGGGGCCATCCCCGTGCCCCTGTGTCACATGTCCCCGCTGTCCCCGCGTCCCAGGTGTTGGTGCTGACGGGGATCATCAAGATCAGCCTGAAGACGCTGCTGGCGTTGCGTGCGGCGGCGGACGCTGGGGCGCTTCGGGCTGCAGCAGGTGCAGGTGGACGGCCATTACCTGCAGCTCTACCTCTGGCGCTTCGCCGCCGCCGAGCGCGTGGTGCAGGGGCTGCTGGACAAGGTGGCCGCCAGCGCTGCCCACTGCTGCCTTGACCCCGTCCCCATGGAGCACAGCGTCGTCGAGCTCATCTGCGAGCGCGGGTAGGGAGGGGGACACGGGGGTGCTGTGCAGGACGTGGCGTCGCGTAGCAGAGGGTGCAGGGACGTGTGTCACCGTGAGGCACAGCCGAGTGGGGACATCTCTGGGAGGGGGACATCTCTTAGCCGCTGTTACGTATATGGGGAGAACCTGCCCCCCATCAGTCCCCTTACAGGATGTCCCGTGTCCCCACACAGAAGTGTGCAGGGTCACCCCCCTGTCCCCACTCCCGTGTCCCCACACAGCAGTGTGCAGGGCCACCCCCCTGTCCCCACACCCACATGGGGTCACCCCATGTCATCACCGCCCCCAGCCCTGGGATCACCCCCACATTGTCCCCCCACCCCGCTGAGTCCCCTCGGTGTGTGCTGACACCCCGTGTTTTCCCTGTAGCCCCCGTGACACACTGTGTTGTCCCCCCACCTTGGTGACATCCCCTCGTGCCTGGGAGCGCCCTGGGCCCCTTTGTCGCATTCGGGGACGATAAATAAAATAGGTGTGAGCTGTGCTTTGTGTCCCTGCTTGTGCCTGGGTGGGGACAGGACCCGAGAGGGACAGATGCCTGGGTCCTGGGGGGCAGTGGGGGGGTGAAGGGGGTCACCTGGGACCCGTGGGGCAGTGGGCAGGGGACAGAGGCAGCCCCTCGCACAAGCACCCTTCTGTAACTGACAGCAATGAAACAGAACCCCCGAGGGTCCCGAGCCACCAAAGTCAGGAGCCACGAGCCTCAGCGGGCACTGAGCAGAGTGCTGGGCGACGCCTGGGGTCGTTCACTCGGTGGCTCGCTGCTTTCCCCTCTGCAGTGGGATGGGGCAGAGACTGGGGAGGGCAAAAGCAAGAAGAACGCGAGGGTGGCGATAACGTCAGTTTAACGGAGGGTCCCGAGCCACCAAAGTCAGGAGCCACGAGCCTCAGCGGGCACTGAGCAGAGTGCTGGGCGACGCCTGGGGTCGTTCACTCGGTGGCTCGCTGCTTTCCCCTCTGCAGTGGGATGGGGCAGAGACTGGGGAGGGCAAAAGCAAGAAGAACGCGAGGGTGGCGATAACGTCAGTTTAACGAGTGCAGGGAAAGCAGAAGGAAAGCCAGTGATGTGGCGGCAGCCGCCGACCGACGCCCAGCCATCTTGGGGCAGCGGCTGCCTTGGCGAGACCCCCAGTCCCGAGAGC